CTTCTTCGAGTTCGGCGGCGTGATGTGCGTGGAGAGCGTCAACCGGGAGATGTCTCCCCTTGTCGACAGCATCGCCGCCTGGATGACCGAGTACCTGAACCGGCACCTGCACAACTGGATCCAGGACAACGGAGGCTGGGTACGTCCCCCCCATCGCTCGGTCCCTCTCCTGGCTCTGGCCCATGACCGGTGGGGCTCGGGGGAGGGTGGTACCCAGCGGGTTGCAATCACGTTGAGGGGAGCAAAAGGTTTGCATGGGAGGCATCTGCACTGGCGTGTGCCGAAGCAGCATAGGCCTTTTGCCAGCTGTCGAGTTTCACCTCGTTGCGGGGTTACGGTGGAGCAGTTTGGGATGAGGGGAGCGCTACGGCTCGGGAGCAAAAAGGATGAGTGAGACACTCTCTTCATCAGTGGTCTCTGCTCTCCTACCCTCTTGCCTGCTGGCACCACCCGCCCTGGCCAAGGCAGGGTCCCACAGCGGGGTGGGAAGGGGCAGCAGAGGAGCCCGTCTGGCAGGCACGTCGCGGCAGGTCCCAGGCGCGGGGGCAGCAGGGACCGTGTGTGCGTGCGGGCATCCCTGCACGTTAGGGGTGATGTGCCACGATAAACGCAGGATCCCGGTGTTACAGGTGGGCAGGTGGCCGTCGCTGCCACCGTCTACAGCTGCGGTGGCGACTGGAGTGGGATTTTATGGTACAGGATGTGTCTAGTGTGAAAAATCTGTCTTTGTCTCGAGATGAAACAAAGGTGTCGGGAGCTGTGTCCGTGGGACTGTTCTGGAAAATGAGTGTTTGTTGTGATCCGATGGGTGATTGTGTTTTCTGGGGTGGAGATCCCCTCTGGCCGCGTTGAAATTGGAAGGGTATTTCTTTCCTTTTTTCCTGTATTAATTGATAGACCGTAACAAAATGCGGTCCCGACCGCTCTCCCGCAAAACCAGACCTGTTGTATATGTAAAGCTCTTGATATTAATGTGTTAGAGGAAGGAATGGCAAAAGTTATACTGAAGAAGAAACTTTATGTGTGAGCTGACAGCTGGCATGAGTCACCTAGAAAGAGAGGTCAGCGTGGTAGGACACCGGCAATTCCAGGTCCGATCCCCTGTGGAATACAGAGCGCTGACTGCATTGCGCAGCACACCTTGAAGAAGCTTTTGTAAAGGAGTGTAAAATACAGTATATGTTTCCCAGTTAACATGGTTTGCAAGCCTGCTGTTTGTGAAGCGTTGCCACATTAAATTTTTAGCGCTGGGTCTCTGGCTAAGTCAGTGTCAGGCTAATTTAACGTGCCACCTGCGTTGACTATCTCTTAAAAAAAATGAGGATGCCGCCTTCCCGTTGCTGAACCCTCCTGACTAAAGACTATACGTGTCCAGGGATCCAGAGGACATCTACGTGCTGCTGTAACGGAGGGGGGTGAGGCTTTGGGACCCTTTCCTCAGCGGGAATCCACATTGCACACCTCCCGGAGGAGTGCTGCAGATCCCTGGCTTCGAGTCACGCTGGAGGCAGGATCGTCCTCCTGCTCTCCCCTGCTTCCACCAAGAAGAAAAAAAAAAAAAAAATCCAAATTCATGGGGCCAGAAGGGGGAGCAAAAAATGTGCGTGCGTGTGTGTGTGTCTGTGTATTTATATACATATATACGTACATATATACAAATGTGCATACACATACAGACACGTGCACACATATATATACACACATATAAGATGACTCCAGTGCCTAGTAGTTGGGATCGCACTTGGGAGAGGGAGAGCCTACCCCCTCCCCGATCCCCTATTTCATGGATCACTACAGAGGGTTTGTCGGTGTTTTGTGTTTTTTTTCACTAAACATAGAACTTGGGGGGGAAAAAAAAAAAATCTGCAAACAGTTCAGGCTTTTTGGAGGCTTGGCTGGTGAAGAGGCGAGCAGCTAAAGGGTTAGGGATTTTGCGACTGCACTTCTGGGCTGGGATGCCTGACTTGTGCGTAAGTTCCTTGTCAGGCTGGAAGCCCGTTCGCGGAGCTGGGGCCCTCGGTTTGCTCCAGAGCCAGTGAAGTCATTCTGTTGACTCCAGTGAGCTTTGGATCAAATCCGTAAGCGTGCTGGAGATGTATTGTCCTGCGAGTGTGTTGTGTAAAGAGAAACGTAAATACGGAATAAAACCAAGGACGTGAAAAGACAGGTGTTACCAGGTGTGATTGGCCAGATGAGGCGAGTGCTGGAGCTGTTTCTCGATGGTTAGAAGCACAAGGAACTCGGACTATAAACACCGTCTGCCTTTAAAAGGAAAAGATGCTTCGTATCGATAGCCGTTTAGTTGTTTATTGAGGTTTCCTATAAACAAAAGCTCCAGAGTTTGGATGCATGTGATGCCATTTACTGCCGCGTGTTATTTGTGATGTACACATGGAAGAAGATGTGCAAAATACTACCCCGAGGTGGCTTTTGCCTGTCTGTCTGGCAAACGGCTGGGGGCCATGGCGTGATTAAACGCAGGCAAAACCTTCTAGCTGATTACGAAGAGCAAAAGACTAACGTGAAGTCTAACTAACGTGATGCCCCATCCCTGGAAGTGTTCAAGGCCAGGTTGGATGAGGCTTTGGGCAACCTGGTGTAGTGGAGGGTGTCCCTGCCCACGGCAGGGGGTTGGAACTAGATGATCTTTGAGGTCCCTTCCAACTCTAACCATTCTATGATTCTATCAAGTTGCAAATGCAGCGTTTAGGATCCCCTTTTCAGGTAGAAGAAATCAAGGATGGCATGGGGCGGTGGATTTTTTTAAATTTTTGTTTGTTTTTTTCAGGATATGTCAGTGCAAAAGCATGCTTTAATATATGCTCTGGGGCTCCACCTTGGCACTTATGCCATACCCCACGTGCGAACCTTACTGAAGCGTCATAAAACGGCTCTGCTGAAGCAGCTGATCCCTCGTAGGTGGTGATGCTTTGTGGGACCTGGCTGCCTGCAAGATCTCCCTGTGGCGTGGGTTCCCACAACAAGCAGGAGCGCCGGCTGTTGCCGCCTTCTCCTCCTTTACGTTGTGGCTCCCCGGTACGTTGCGGAGCGATGAGTTTATTAGAGGCTGTGTAGTAGGAGAGAAGAGAGCATCAGAGTTAGTCCCAAGCGTATCTTACACAGCGAGTAAGTTGGACAGCTTCGAGTCTGTTGCGTGGGCCAATGTCTTACACTCGGGTCTGAAGTTTGGTTGAAATGTCTTTGTTATTTACCTGTTTCTTTTGAATCGGTTCTGTAAATTGACAGTGTATTTTCAGGATGTGAATTTTTTCTCTAACAAGAAAGAAGGAGGAAAGCAGCGTGTTGAAGGGCAGGCTGGAAGGAGATGTAGCTGGGGGAGTATAAATTTTGGGCACTAGACACCCACTATTGATGGTGCCTGGGGACTGTTAATACCCTCACAATACACAACGTCGTGGGTTTGTTGGAAACGTAGAAAAAGCAACAGATGGGGACTGCCTGCACGGAGGCTGTGTTATTAGCTTGTGGTTCTGGTGGCAAATAAATGCAGCTTTCAAAGATTTTCACGTAGGTCAGGATACCGCAGTATTGTACTTTGGCCTGATAACATCTTAATTGCGTTACAAAAGGCACGAGAGGAGAACCAACTCATCTCTGCAATTTCATGGTGCTTGGTATGATGGATGCTTTCTGATTGACAACTTAATGGCTTCATTTCGTTTTTTAGAGCCTGATGTTTGAGCTGCAGAAGGACTGGCTTTGGAGCGGGCTGTCGCGCTTGGCGGCTCTTGACTTTGACGTGGGCAACGCTGAGCGTGTGATGCAGCCGGTGTGGGGGAAATAACCGTGTTTGTCCTTGCAGTGATGGGTTCCCTCTTTGGGCACACAACCCAGGGCACGTGGGAGCCACGCTCAGCTCTGGGCGCTTCTAGTCCGGCACACGGCTTCCTTCCCAAGCTGTTCAACACAAAGCAAGAGCATGACAACTGTAGAAGGAGGCACGGGCACTGTTACGTAGGTGTAGACAAGTACCTTTTTGATACAAAGAATGTGAAGGAGCTCAGGTGAGAGAAGCAGTGTTGTGTTGGAAATTCAGCCAGGAAAGCATCTTTTTAAATGACAGTATTTACATGTGAACCAGGAATGTGATAGTCGTGCGCTTTCATCCCATTTTGGGTTTTTACTGCTGTTCTTTAGTCTATTCAAGAGTTAAGGCCAGATATGGGGAAGTATTTAGATGTATGAAGTGGACCTTAGGTGGAACATGTGCATGTTCTGAGTGCCTGCCTAGCCACAATGGTGGCAGAAGTCCCCGGCTTCCCTCTGTTCCTTGCCCAAGCCAGCCAGGACCTGCCCTTGCCTTGAGAGAGGGCACGGTGGGGTACACCATGAGGTGGGGGACACTGCTCCCAAGACCCTCTGTGTCCTGAAGCTGGTGGGCATCGTCTGGCCTGGTTGTTGTTGCTCACCTGCCATCCTCATGCACAAACGCAGCCGGGAAGCCCCCGCTTTTCCTGGTGGCTCCTTGATTAAGGCTTCTCCCGAGGTCGTGGGAGATTTGCCTACGAGACCTTCTCCACCCTGGCGGAGGTGGCGGTGGGGGTGGTGTTTACACCTGCATCTCCAACATCTCAGGAGGCTTCGCCTGCCAGATGGCTGCTGGTTTTGCTGAGGTGTCCTTCCATTTGGCAACAGGGCTCCTCCTTCGGCAGGGGTGAGATTTCATTTGGCGGAGGAGGAAGAACCTCCTCTGGGGTGTCTAATTCCTACTGTCCAACGTGTTTTCTCATCTGGCTGTCTACAGCCAAATGCACAAACGCCTCTTGGGCCAGCAACGAGACAGACCCCAGGTTTCCCTTCTCCTGGGTTGACTGCCCTG